GTAAGTTTAGCCTTATAATGACCAAACTCCCTTCCACCAACAAACAGTAGAGACTTTGATGCTTCTCCATCCCTTCCGACACGGCCACTCTCCTGTACAAATTGCATGAGTGTATCTGGAAACTTAAAGTGAACAACAGTTCTCACATTGGGACAGTCAACCCCCAGTCCAAATGCTGATGAGCAAACAACAACTCTAAGTGGACCATCTGGTTTGGTAAACTTCGCTATGATGTCCTTTTTTGTTCTATCATCCATAACTTTCACATACATGTTAACCAATAATTGGTTAGCGTTATCATAAATATTGCTTCCCAAGGCATTTTCAAAGAACTCGTAAATGGTAGCACAATCATTAGTTGAGGTACAGTATATAATCACTTTATCTGCTTTGTCATTGTGCTGCAACAGTTGTTCAACAACAAAACCAAAGCAGGATTGGAATAGTTGATCATCATCCCCTTGACAGTTAGGAAGGATACATACTTTATAAAATATGTTGGGTCGGTTTGTAGATGATTTGATAACAATACAACCTTCCATATCCAATTTAGCAGTGATGTAGTTCATTGTTTTGCAATTAGCAGTGGCTGTAAGTGCAGTTATAGGTAATCCAGCCATCATTAAAGCACGGATGTCTTTTAACTCATTGTAAGCGCTTCTGAAATCTCTGCCCCTTAAAATAAATCAAGTGAGTTCAGAGTAGGTTACTGTATAAAGTTACTTATTTGCAAGGCTAATTATATAACGTGATGAACCAAAGTGTAAAAAAATTTTGCCCTATCCAATCGTTGGTTATCTCGCCACATTTTCAATAATTTCAATAATCCTTTAAAACTTAGTATAAACATATGACAATTAGCCAAATTCTCTTGCAATAGAATGAGGCTCTGTAGTCAAGGGAAAGCACTTTGGCTAATTTATTTATTAAATTATTAAAATATCTAGCATAGACCTACCATTGTAGTACACAATGTGCCTCATCAATTGCCACACAAACAATATGCTCTTTCAGTTCCCTCAGAGTCTCCCTTACAGTCAAACTGGTAAATGCCTCAGGGGATAACAAAGCGATTTTGATGTTCGATTTTCCACGTCGAAGGTCCTCAACTTGTCGGTCTTTAAGATCGGTGAGCTTGACGCTATGTATTCCTCGTTCGGCCATTTTAGCCATCTGATCATCCATGAGGGAAATTAGTGGTGAAATCAAAACGACGATAGATGAACGGCAATCGTTGTTTGGTGACGATCGCAGAGCATCGCAAACATATGGAAAGAGCGTGTAAATCAGCGACTTTCCGAAACCAGTTCTCAGATGAACGAATACATCTTTACCGCGAGACAGGTAATAGATCGCTTGCAATTGCTCAAACTTCGGCAAAAAATTATATTTACACATTTCCATGGCAAACTTAACGGCTTCAACAAATTCTCTGCCAAAAATAGAAGAAACTTGTTCTCAATCAGCGCTGCAAGAGTATCAGAACTTTCCTTTGACATTGCGGATTTTCCCCACAGTAAACAGAGCTTAGCGACCTGGCGACCTCCACATATGTGTGGTGGTAGTTGACGCATGCGCATGCAAATTCTTCTGGACCCTCCTTCTCCGCCGCGCCGTGTGGCGAGAATAGGGTCTGGGACTGGACTACTTCAACCTGTGATAAAAAATAGTGGTTCTTCTATTCGGGTTTTCAACGTGTTCCGGTTCTATCAAAGGCGGCCCAATCTCTGAACGTCCTATATATTTTGAATATTTAATCGTAATAATATTTTAAAATAACAAAATAATTCAAAAAATATTAACAATATATGTAAAATTATAATATAGTCATCCACCGTATACGAGCTGTTCTGCAATTTGATTGGTTGAATTACTCGCCGTATACTAGAAAATACATGCATGCAGAAACCCTCGCCTTGCTGACAAAACAATTGTATTTTCCGAACATGAAGTATCTAAGTTGTCATGGTAACACGATAATTTTTTAAGAATATTCTTACAAATGAAAAATCGCCTATAAATATCACTTTTAATCACAATTATTATACGTAATATAAGCCATAATTATTATACGTAATATAAGCCTCGATTTAAGGTAAAATTCAACCACAAACGCTTCGCAAAGCGTTTTAAAGTCATTAGTGTTCTTTAATATAAAACTAAACGGCCTTTTAAAATGGCTTTATCGATAAACTTGGAGTTTGCAATAAAATGATTTAAAATTCTCGCTTGCAAATAACTTTGCTTTCTTATTTATTTAAAAAATTCAATATCATAAAAAAGGAAATCAATATTAAATATACACTAAAATTATATGCTGTCTTGTTTAGTTGTTTCATATACGCAAAAGCCGTCGGGTTTTAAATCCATTATAAAATCAATATTTAAAGCAGACTTACCTTCGTTAACGTCGGCTCCCTTCTTTTAGCCGATTCTTTCGCAGTTCCTTTCTCAGAGAGCTTTCGAAATTTACAAAATCTTGCAAAAATGCGAGCAAAAATGAAATATATTTGAAAGAAATTTATCAATCCTCAAATCAACTCAAGAAATGTTTCTATTTCGCTGTCGTCATGCAGTCGTTATAATGCAAACTCTAAATTGGACCAATCAGTGTCCGCTATTCGTGACAGTCCGCCATGTTTTTGAGATCAGTGAGGATGACCACCCACTCAACACCGTTGGTGACCCACGCCCGCGATATTTGATTAACTTTAGACTTCGCTAATGCTTTCGTTTCCCCGGGTGTAAATAGCCGGGGGGGGATTAGTACCATCGCACGGCGCTTCGCGCCGTCGGCTCGGGGATCAGCTCATATACGGCGAGTAGCGAAAAACAAGATGGCGGTCCAAAAACTACATGAGTTTTGCGAAGCAGAAAAAGGAAAATATTCGCTTTGAGAAACATAATAGTACGAGGAAAAACTCTAAAAAAAAATTTGACAGGTTAGCAAAATACATTTATTACGTAGAAATTAGTTTAAATACAAGTGTTTTAAAGAATTAATACCGAAACAACAGCGAAAAACATGTTCATTGAGAATATAAATTGTTCAGAAAAGTTTGCAATGAACGACAAATAAATTTGCAGTCAAAAAGCACTTACTATAGTATCAAACATCTGTATAATATATCGGAGCTTTGCTGTGAGATATAGAGGTTCTAAAACCATTTCTTTCACTTCGTTGTCGAGTTGTAAAACAAAAGTATTTCAAATTTTCAAGCGGTTTTTGGCCGAAAAATTGTCAACACATTGTAACAGTGAATAATTAATTACTGTTTCAGTTAATGGCTATATTAGACTATATTATAAAACAATTATACCATTCGCTCTCGTCGTCTATGGCTGATAGCCGACTCGGTGCTACGCACCTCGTCGGCTATCAGCTCATATACGACTCGAGCTCATAGTAATTGTTAAATATATCTCACTTGTTAAAAGAATGCATTTGTTGTGTTTCTGAGTCTAGTTGACGTGATTGCTTTACGTTTTCGTCGTACTTGAACGATCGTCAACTGGCACTGGACGACATGGCCATATAGGACATAAATAACTACCATGCTAGGCGCCACTTATCTGATATATTCTCCGACATCGAGTCCAATATCTCCCCTCAAAATCGTCGCAGAGCAATAAATTTCACATCGCCAAATAGTATGAACGTTCCTCTTTCGAAAGAACTTGGTTTGCTCACCATTGCGCAATTCCCGCGACACAAGACGAACTTTGTTTATCTACAATTCAGAATTAAATTTTCGACAGAATCGTTCACTACATGATCGTTGCCACGAGAGCGGCTCAGCAACCTGGCCTCCTCGTTCGAAAACACTCCGCCAGGGTGGAGCATCTGCACTGTAATGAGGGGGGCTTTCAAAACAACACGATAAAAAACTCGATATAAACAGAAATTATTATACTTTATCATCCGTATTCGACAATAAAGAAGTTTTCAATCAGTCCTATTTTTAGAAGCGTGAGAAAATTAAAAATATCTTGTTTAATATGAACTTTTCCTTACATATTTTTTAGAACAAAAACGTTATTTACTTATTATAACATTTAGCTTTTGACAATCATACCAATCTTTTTAAAGTATTGAACTTGACTTCGTTCAACCGTATGTCTTATTGTCTAATTTTGAATTTTAGACAAACAAGGTTCGTCGTGCGTGTGTCGCGGGAATTGCCGCAATGGTGACGATTTTGAGGCGAGATATTGGCTCGATGTCGGAGAGTATATCAGATAAGTGGCTAGCCTTGTAGTTATTTATGTCCTACATAGCCATGTCGTCCAGTGCCAGTACTGACGACCGTTCAAGTACGACGAAAACGTAAAGCAATCGCATCAACTAGACTCAGAAACACAACAAATGCATTCTATTAACAATTGAGATATATTTTTTACATATATTGTTAATATTTTTTGAATTATTTTGTTATTTTAAAATATTATAACGGTTAAATATTCAAAATATATAGGACGTTCAGAGATTGGGCTGCTGTGGTTCTATTAGAGTATAAGTATATAATATGCCTTACAAAATATAAAATGTCGAATTCTAAATAATATTGTGGAGACACACAAACCGACATAAAATGAATTTTGTTCGACTGTCCAGTGTAGCCTAGTAGCAAATATGTAAGTATATTTATTCTATTTTCTCGTGTTGATAGGTTTGCTATAGGTATTTGTTCAACTGTTTGATAGTGTAACATGCATATGATTTTACCATTGTTAAATTAATAGTCTAGATTTGGTAAATTTACTAATATATATCTTGATTTTTCTGTGTTGGTGTAATGTATTCAGGTGAATATGATGCTTGTGATGTTACTCTGAGTGTATTTCCACACCGGGCAAGCTTGAAAAATATGCCTGACCATAGTGGGAATCGAACCTACGGCCTTTTGAATACTAGCCCAATGCTCTGCCAACTGAGCTACGCGGTCTGGTCGGTTCGAGTATGTGATATTTCGGAACAGAATCTAGTTCCTTCGATATGGATGTAATCTAATAATCATGATTTTTTCTGTGTTGGTGTAATGTACTCAGGTGAATATGATGCTTGTGATGTTACTCTGAGTGTATTTCCACACCAGGCAAGCTTGAAAAATATGCCTGACCACTGTGGGAATCGAACCTATGACCTTTGGAATATAGATAATTAGTTGACCGCATAGCACAGATAATTCAAAAGGTCGTAGGTTCGATTCCCACCATGGTCAGGCATATTTTTCAAGCTTGCCCGGTGTGGAAATACACTCAGAGTAACATCACAAGCATCATATTCACCTGGTACATTACACCAACACAGAAAAAATCATGATTATTAGATTACATCGATATCGAAGGAACTAGATTCTGTTCCGAAATATCACATACTCGAACCATAGATATCTTATATACACTAGATAGTGCATCTAATTATTCTACAATTCGAAAATTGAAGCGGCGTGATTGCAGTCTCAGGTCGTTCCCATGAAATGAGAAGATTCGTATGTTTTCTATTTCATAAACAGGAAACTTAAACATTAAGTTAACCCTATTCCAAATACTTTTTTAAACTATTCGAATGATGAAAGTTATTGTTGTTTTTAAGCGTTTATTAGCAAGTTGGAACGACCAACATGGCCGCCATCTATTCAAATGGGGGTAACCGCTGGAATATTCTTGGCTTCAATTTTACTAAAAGAGATGCGCTATCTAGTGTATATAAGATATCTATGACTCGAACCGACCAGACCGCGTAGCTCAGTTGGCAGAGCATTGGGCTAGTATTCCATAGGTCGTAGGTTCGATTCCCACCGTGGTCAGGCATATTTTTCAAGCTTGCCCGGTGTGGAAATACACTCAGAGTAACATTACAAGCATTATATATATCTTGTTTAATTTAACGGAATATTCTCTTAATGCATTCTTCTGAGGCATCGTGAAATTTTTGATACGCTGAAATATCTGGTAGATATTTCAGCTTAAGCTAGGTGAAACAGTAAAAGCTCAAGCCCTCAATTTAAATCAGATCGCATTTGGTCACTTTTTATCGCAATCATTCCATAAAGATGTTATTTGATAGCTTAAAATTTGTTCTTTATAAATACGAAAAGAAATTGACGGAATAGTTAACGCAGAATAGCATGTCAAATTTGGATTACCTTTTATTTTATACACCATGTATATATGAAAGTAAGAACTTCAGTCATTCTGCCTATAAATAGGATAGATAAATCCATAGAAATCATGAACAATTTTTCTCAGGTAAATCCAGTTTTTCCAAGGATTTTTTCGCTAGAAAGTTAAAATTGAAAAAGAACGTCACTGCAAATCGTCCTGAACATCCTCCTTGCTATTCTTCGGCAATAGTTTTCTAATTCTTTCAAAACCGGGGAGAAACTAGTGAGGGGGGGGGGGGGGGGGGGGGGG